GCTGGCCGGTGGCCTGGCCGCGCGGCGGGTGTGCGCGTGTGAACGTAAGCGCGTCCTCGCGACGGAGCAGTGCTTTGAGCCGAGTGGAGAGAGAGCCAATCAGCGGTGAGCTCTGGGGCTCCAGCCAGCTCCGCCCCGCCCCCTGATCCTCCTCCGAAGGACTCAGAGACGGAAGTCTCACTCTGACTGTTATTTACTAACTTTACTACACGACAAAGTACTACTACCACACTGTACAAGTACTCTGTTACAGTAAAAGTACTACTACCACACTGTACAAGTACTCTGTTACAGTAAAAGTACTGCTACCACACTGTACAAGTACTCTGTTACAGTAAAAGTACTGCTACCACACTGTACTTCTGCTCTGGTTGATGCTCTAGATGCTTGTTTAAAGGAGATGCACTCATGACTTCTGGTGACTAGTAGTTCTCTTGAATATGTTGAATACACTTACTGTAAGTGGCTTTGGATAAAAGCGTAATGTAATGTTATGTATAAATACTCTGTTACAGTAAAAGTACAAATACTAACGGTTTCAGCCGTACTTGTATAAACTGTTGGGGAGTTTATTTATAAATAATCATAATATTCATATGATTTGTGTGTAAATATATTAATCTGTCAGATAAACGTAGTTAAATAAGAGTATATGGTGTCTTGAGAATAACAGTACAAATATCTCAACCTTGAGTAAATGTACTCAGTTATATTGTAGAACTACTATAAGTACTATTACCAATGAGTGGCTCGATGTGTATCATAAATAAATAGTTATCGAGCCTCAGAAACGTGTTTTCTTATTCTGACGGAGAGGATCATCTTCTCAAACACAGACGATCTTTGTCTCCTCCCCTTTGACTGAGCATTGGAACCGGAGACACGCGCACACAGGATGTTAGACCAGAAGCCTGAACACACAGACAGCTGTGACGTCAAACACACCCTAACGTCTACGGAGCTCGTTACGTCATGAACTACACGTTCTTTGGACGTCTCTAACTCAGTCAAACCTTAACACACACACACACACACACACACACATACACACACACATTTCTACATTCAGCCAGAGTCACACTCTCCGGTGATGTCATCATCGTGACGTCCATGCAGAAGAAAAGTCCTTAAATTCATTTAGAAATGATGGAAGAGAAGAGTCCGCAGAAGCTGCCTGAGGACTGAGCTGCAGTGTCCCAGTGGTCACGTGACCCCGGTGTGTCCAATCACCAGTTCATTAGAGAGAGGAGCGCCTCACACACAGTCCGGCTGTTTTTAATTTAATACAAACTCATATGCAGTTATATTAATGTGCCATATCTATATCAATGATCTGTAGAACAAAACAACAGAACAAACTACAGTTTAATCAATTATTAAAGATTGCAGAGAAAGTTGTCATTGAACAAATCACAACTCTTCTTGATACAAGCACCTGAGACGACATCGTATGCAGTTTGGCTTTAGAACAACCTGCTGCCTGCTCTTCATAGAGCAAATCACATCGATGCTCGATGAAGGAGGAGGAGTTGATGCTGTCAATCACGATGTGTTCATATCGAAGCTCTCTGCGTTCATCTCTTCACCCAGAGCTTTGGCTCAGATGTCTTCTTATTTATCAAATAGGAAGCAAAGTGTTCAAATGTGTGACTCACTGTCCAGCAACCTGGAATGCACAACGGGTGTTCCACCAGGGTCCGTGTTAGCTCCCCTATTGTTTAGTCTATATATTAATGATCTCCCTCAACAGTGTCACGATGTAGAACTGCACATGTATGCAGACGACACTGTTGTATATACACATGCAAAAACAGCTGAGTCAGCAGCTGCCAAGCTAACAATTGGCTGGAAGGGATGACACACTGGCTCCATCAGTCAACCTCCTGATGCTGACTCATCACCGGAGAAAGGCTAGAAACACTCACCGAGTTTAAATATCTTGGTGTGATACGAGATCAAGATCTTAATGAACCACTCTATCTCTGGACTGAAGACGATGCTGGAGACACTGAGCACCGCAGAACCGAAGCGGAGGACCGCATTAGCACAGCAGAGGACCAGCTGGTGGTCCTCGATTCTCGCGTCCAAAAACTAAGTAAAGAAAATGACTTTTTACTGGAGAAGGTCGACCAGCTGGAAAACTACAGCCGACGCAACAATATATGTGGTGTTAACCTGAAGGAGAAGTGCGAGGGAAACAACCCTGTGAACCTGTTTACCGAGTGGATCCCAGACACTCAGACAGAGCATTGCACTTAGCCGCTGATCATAGAGCGACCTCTTACACACCGTCCACCTGCAGACCAGAGACCGAGACATGTATTGATACGCCTGCTGAAATACCAAGACCGGGACAGGATCCTGCGCATCGCCACACAGAGGTCCAAAGAGAACAACGGCCCGTCATGTACGAAGATGAGCCGGTGCTGTTGGTTCCTGACCTGAGCGCCAGCTTGATGAAACGCAGAAAGGAGTTCGACCAAGTTAAGAGGGAGCTTCGATCCAAGGACATCCCGTGTGCCCTGCTTCATCCTGTAACACTGAGGATCACGAAGAAAATCCTTCAAAACACCAAAAGAAGCGGAGGCATTCCTGCGCGACTCCCCGGGACAAACATACCGGACCAGGCGGACAGAACCACCAGGTGGATGAAACCCAGACTCTCTCAGGAGCTGCCTGTCTTTAGCACATCAGTCTTTATGCTACAGGTGTTGAGATAAAGTAAGTGATGGCAGCAATTCAAGTTTAAGTTGACTTCTGAGGTTGGTTTCATGTTAATCCTGTTTGCGTTCTAATCATTTCAGAAAAGTGTGTTTTCAGCGTTTGTTATAATTTCTTGTTACACTTAACATTAGATATCCACATATTGTAAAACTCTTTCTCAGACAGAGCCTTGGGCTGGTTTTCAAACTCTTCCTGAGTCATTCTCCACCGCCATAATCACTGATCCACAAAGACAATAGAGATCCATTAAACTGTTCCTCTTCTCGACCCATTTCCTTGTTGAATTCAGATTATGAATTGATTTCTAAAGCCCTGGCTAACAGGCTTGGCCAATATTTGCCAAAATGAATAAACCCAGACCAGAGCGGCTTTATTTTGAAACGCTCATCAGTCAATAACTTGTGCAGACTCTTTAATGTTATCCATCGAACAAAATCTAAAACTGAAGCTCGTGTAGCTGTAGCATTAGATGCTGAGAAGGCCTCTGATAGGCTAGAATGGCCGTATTTATTCAAAGTTTTGGACAAGTTTGGATTTGGCCATTTGTTTATCAATTGGGTGAAACCTTTACCATACCCAGAGCCACAATGACCACAAATGGACAGACTTGGACAGCATTTCCCTTGAGTAGATGGAGTCGACAGGGCTGCCCTCTGTCTCCAGGACTCGTTGTCCTGGAGACAGAGGGTCCAGGACTCGTTGTCCTGCTGTTGAACCACTTGCTGAAGCAATTAGACGGGATCCAGATATAAAGTGGTTCAGAGTGGACCAAATAAATCATACAATGAATCTCCTGGCAGATGATGTAATTTTGTATCTAACAGAGCCGGTTAACTCTCTCACTAAACTACAGACGCTACTGAACACCTATGGTGCTATTTCAGGATACAAGGTCAATCTGGAAAAAAGTGAAATTATTCCACTCACGAACTTCGACCTCACTGAATACCAACAAAGAACCCCATTTAAGTGGCTCCCGGATATTAAATATCTAGGAATAATTATAGATAATGATCTTAAACATTTGTACAAACTGAATTACCTACCATTGCTGAGTAAGATCGAGGACAACCTATGCAGATGGATGAATCTACCCATCACTCTAACTGGTGGAATAAACTGTGAGAATGAATATTCTCCCGAGGTTGCAGTATCTGTTCCAGTCCTTACCCATTGCATTACCTCTAACCTTCTTTAAAACACTCAACAAACACATTAGGCAGTTTCTATGGAACTGTAAAATACCAACGCTGTCAATGGAACAATGAACATGGGATTACAGTCTAGCAGGTTTTCGACTACCCAATGTGAAGAAATATTATTTAGCAGCCCAGACGTGATATCTTTAGTCATTGTTTGACGGTGATGCTGCCCCCTCTTGGATACGAATTGCACTTCACCCTCTCAAAGAAGAAACCTCCAGTTATTGTATTTATAAATGGAACTCCAGAACCATATCCAAGACAGACAATCCTATTCTGAAACATTTTATTAAAATATGGTATGAAGTTCACAAAACTCTTGGACTAAATATGAGACTATCACCAAAACTCCTCTTAGACAAAATGAACTTGTGCCCATGACTCTGAGTAACAAGATTCAGGAGACTTGGCATGACAGAAGAATCCAGCATCTGAAGACTGCTTTGATAAAGGATCCTCATGCCTTTTGAAGAACTGAAGAGGAAGTATGATTTGTCCAGTAGAACTTCCTTTTGTTACCTCCAGTTAAGATCCTTTCTGAGATCCAACCTGGGCCCTGGAACGACTCTACCTGTGTTAACTCATGTGGAGAAATTGCTTCACCAGGGAAATGTGTACAAATGTATTTGTAGAATGTACTCCATGTTGCTGAATGAGGGCCCAAAACCAGGACTACACAGATCCAGGAGGAGATGGGAATCAGATTTGAATATAACTATTGATGAAGAACTCTGGTCAGATTTGTGTCTGAACAGTTTGTCAGCAACGGTTAATGCCCGGTACAGACTTGTTCATTTTACCTTTCTTCATCAGCTGTACCTCACCCCACAGAAGCTACATAAATCCAAACCTGAATTGTCAGAAATGTGTTCCAGATGTGGTCTAGAGGTCGGCTCCTTCCGACACTGTACCTGGCTTTGCACAGAGGTGAGGTCCTCTTGGTGTGACTTTTGTAATACAATAACTAAGATCACAGGGGTTACCTTTCCACTAGATCCTGAGCTGTTTACTGGGAAACCTCACAACTCTCAACAGGTCTTTAACGAAGCTCCAGATTAAACTTGCAGAACTTGC